GAGGAGAGACCAGGACCAGGACTCAACCAAGGACTATAACAGGACTGGGACAGGTCTAACCCAGGTCTAAACCCGGTCTACCTCCAGTCTGGCTCAGGTCTAAACCCGGTCTACCCCCGGTCTGGCTCAGGTTTAAACCCGGTCTACCCCCGGTCTCCCTCAGGTCTAAACCCGGTCTACTCCCGGTCTCCCTCAGGTCTAAACCCGGTCTACCCCCGGTCTGGCTCAGGTTTAAACCCGGTCTACCCCCGGTCTGGCTCAGGTTTAAACCCGGTCTACCCCCGGTCTGGCTCAGGTTTAAACCCGGTCTACCCCCGGTCTGGCTCAGGTTTAAACCCGGTCTATCCCCGGTCTGGCTCAGGTCTAAACCCGGTCTACCCCCGGTCTCACTGTCGTACCTTTGTCCTTGCTCTGATAGTCCACGGTGAGGTGGAGCAGGGGGAGGAGGTTATCGTCGTCTAGGAGAACTTTGTGAGCAGCCTGTTGGAACGCCACGTTTACGTCTGAAATACACAAGATACATGTCAGACTGCAGTACTACTACAAATACTACTACTGCTACTGCTACAAATAATACTGCAGATACTACTACAGATACTACTACTCCTGCCCATAGTACTACTACAAATACTACTAAGTAGTAATACTACTACTACAGACAGTGGAGGGCTCGTGTCTCTATAAAATAACTCTGTGTCTAAACTCATCTTGTTCTTGTATCAAAGTTTTTTTTTTATTTTGAAAAAATAAATATTATTTATTTTGATATTTTACATCATAATATTAATATTATGATGTAATAATATTGTACCACAGCAGAGTCTGAGCTCCTGTTCACAGGATCAGTTCCTCCAGAAGAACATTTTCACAAAACACTGTGATAGAAATTTAGATTGTGGAAAGATTTCTCTCAATGTGTCTTGTGTAAATTAATGTGATTTCTACCTGAAACCCAGACCAGTCATTAACATGTGTAAAGGTTCATCAGGCACAACTGTTTGTTTTGTTGCATTGATATGTATGTAACTTGTATTTCTGTATAAATACGGAGAGCTGAAATGCTCTGGGAGAGACATGGGGGGAGAGACAAGGTGAGAGGCTGTTGGGCTTTGGCCGGAACAGGCCTAGGCTCTGTCCATATCTGCTGTAACAACAATAAACCTTGGTCTATATTCCAAAAACTCATCGGGCTTCGCAAATGGATTCATTATTTATCTTCAAGAGATATAATTTTTTCCACAACACCAACACCAAAACTGTTCAGAAGCTCCACACACCAGGCCCCATGTTCACACTGTGATCTTTGCATGTTTTTACTGTGTTTTAATATGTTTACTTGTTATAGTGTGTTTTAATGTTTTTCAGCATGTTGTCAGTGTGTTGTCAGTGTGTTGTCAGTGTGTTGTCAGTGTGTTGTCAGTGTGTTGTCAGTGTGTTGTCAGTGTGTTGTCAGTGTGTTGTCAGTGTGTTGTCAGTGTGTTTTTAGTGTGTTGTTTCAGTGTGTGTCAGTGTGTTGTCAGTGTGTTGTCAGTGTGTTTTCAGTGTGTTGTCAGTGTGTTTTCAGTGTGTTGTTCAGTGTGTTGTCAGTGTGTTTTCAGTGTGTTGTCAGTGTGTTTTCAGTGTGTTGTCAGTGTGTTGTCAGTGTGTTTCAGTGTGTTTTCAGTGTGTTGTCAGTGTGTTTTCAGTGTGTTGTCAGTGTGTTTTCAGTGTGTTTTGTGTGTAGTGTGTTGTGTGTTGTCAGTGTGTTGTTCAGTGTGTTTTCAGTGTGTTTTCAGTGTTGTCAGTGTGTTGTCAGTGTGTTGTCAGTGTGTTTTCAGTGTGTTTTCAGTGTGTTTTCAGTGTGTTTTCAGTGTGTTGTCAGTGTGTTTTCAGTGTGTTTTCAGTGTGTTTTTCAGTGTGTTGTGTGTGTCAGTGTGTTTTGTGTGTTCAGTGTGTTTTTCAGTGTGTTGTCAGTGTGTTTTCAGTGTGTTGTCAGTGTGTTTGTGTGTTTTCAGTGTGTTGTCAGTGTGTTTTCAGTGTGTTGTGTGTCAGTGTGTTTTCAGTGTGTTTTCAGTGTGTTTTCAGTGTGTTTTTAGTGTGTTGTCAGTGTGTTTTCAGTGTGTTGTCAGTGTGTTTTCAGTGTGTTTTCAGTGTGTTGTCAGTGTGTTTTCAGTGTGTTGTCAGTGTGTTTTCAGTGTGTTTTCAGTGTGTTTTCAGTGTGTTGTGTGTCAGTGTGTTTCAGTGTGTTTTCAGTGTGTTTCAGTGTGTTTTTAGTGTGTTTCAGTGTGTTTTGTGTGTTTTCAGTGTGTTTTCAGTGTGTTGTCAGTGTGTTTTCAGTGTGTTGTCAGTGTGTTTTCAGTGTGTTGTCAGTGTGTTTTCAGTGTGTTTTCAGTGTGTTTTTAGTGTGTTGTCAGTGTGTTTTCAGTGTGTTTTTAGTGTGTTGTCAGTGTGTTTCAGTGTGTTGTCAGTGTGTTTTGTCAGTGTGTTTTTAGTGTGTTGTCAGTGTGTTTTCAGTGTGTTTTTCAGTGTGTTTTCAGTGTGTTTTCAGTGTGTTGTCAGTGTGTTGTCAGTGTGTTTTCAGTGTGTTTTCAGTGTGTTTTTGTGTTTTAGTGTGTTGTGTGTGTGTTCAGTGTGTTTTCAGTGTGTTGTGTGTTCAGTGTGTTTTCAGTGTGTTGTCAGTGTGTTTTCAGTGTGTTTTCAGTGTGTTGTCAGTGTGTTTTTGTGTTTGTCAGTGTGTTGTCAGTGTGTTTTCAGTGTGTTTTCAGTGTGTTTTCAGTGTGTGTGTGTCAGTGTGTTGTGTCAGTGTGTTTTCAGTGTGTTGTCAGTGTGTTTTCGTGTGTTCAGTGTGTTTTTAGTGTGTTGTGTGTCAGTGTGTTTTTGTGAGTGTGTTGTCAGTGTGTTTTCAGTGTGTTTTCGTGTGTCAGTGTGTTTTTCAGTGTGTTGTCAGTGTGTTTTCAGTGTGTTGTCAGTGTGTTTTTAGTGTGTTGTCAGTGTGTTTTCAGTGTGTTTTCAGTGTCAGTGTGTTTTCAGTGTGTTTTCAGTGTGTTTTCAGTGTGTTGTCAGTGTTTCAGTGTGTTTAGTGTGTTTCAGTGTGTTTTCAGTGTGGGCGGAGTCTTTAACATTTGCTGAGCCAGATCTATGAAGACCTGATACAACTCTCCACGACCCAGAAGAAAGAAATCCTTAATGATCTGAAACCACAGGAACAGGACTGAACCAGGACTGAACCTGGACTAAACCTGGACTAAACCTGGACTAAACCAGGTTTGAACCAGGACTGAACTAGGGACTACACTAGGGACTAAACTTGGAACTAAACCAAGACTAAATCAGGACTGAAGGAGTATTTTGTATTAGAGCTGAACCTTGAGCTGTTCGATCAGGTCGGCCTCCTCCACCATCAGAGTCCAGAGATGCTACAACAACAAACACACCATCAGAGGAAGCGTCTGGGGAGAGGGTGGAGAGAGGGAGGACAGAGGGGGAAGCGTCTGGGGAGAGGGAGGACAGAGGGATGTGGCAGAGGAAGCGTCTGGGGAGAGGGAGGACAGAGGGATGTGGCAGAGGAAGCGTCTGAGGAGGGGGAGGTGCTACGGTTGGAGGAAGCGTCTGGGGAGAGGGAGGTGTTAGGGTTGGAGGAAGCGTCTGGGGAGAGTACCTCGGCCACAGTGCTCCTGATGTGGTCGATGAGGTTTTCAAAGTCGACTAAACTGAAGAGCGGCTGCTGTTTGAGTCTGTGCAGCTCCGACGCAAACACATCCTCACGATGTTTCAGTATAGAACCTATAAATATATATAACACAAATATATATAACACAAATATATATAACACAAATATATATAACACAAACATATATAACACAAATATATATAACATATATAACACACAGTAATATATATATATATATATATATATATATATACACACACACACACACACACACACACACAAATGGATATAAATAGAACCTTTTGTAACATTTATCTAATTATAATGTGTATTTTAACTGAAATAAATAAGTCTTGTCTAAACCAGGACTAAACCAGGTCTAACCCAGGTCTAACCCAAGACTAAACCAGGACTAAACCAGGACTAACCCAAGACTAAACCAGGACTAAACCAGGACTAACCCAAGACTAAACCAGGACTAAACCAGGACTAACTCAGGTCTAACCTAAGACTAAACTAGGACTAAACCAGGACTAACCCATGCCCGCTGCACTGGTGCTCGGGGGACTGACCGGCTCTGGAGGGGCTGTGGTTGTGGTTCTCAAACATCTGGACGGATTCTCCCACAAACAGGATCTTCTCCGCGACTCTGACGGGAATGTACGACGGCAACATCTCAGTGCGGAGCGAGAACTGCTGCAGAGACGGAGCCAACATGTTCTCCTCCTCGATCAGCCTCTGGAGAACCACCACAAGAACCACAAGAACCAGGATTAAACCAGAACTGAACCAGGACTAAACCAGGAGCCAGCATGTTCTCCTCCTCGATCAGCCTCTAGAGAACCACCACAAGAACCAGGACTGAACCAGGATTAAACCAGGACTAAACCAGGACTGAGGACTCCCCCGGTATAAGCGCGGTCTCACCAGGTCCTGTAGCTCCCTCAGCTGTTTTCCGCTGAGTCCGCCCAGACACAGGTCGTCCTCCTCTTCGTCCTGATTGGTCGAGCTGCCGGCGCCGCTGGGGCCTTGGCGAATGAAAAACTCCTCGTGTTGGTCCAACAACAAACCGTGAAGCATCCAGGCCGCCAACTGTTTATACAGCACGCCATGACACACACACAGGATCCTACGAAGAACGCACATGGTACTACAGAGAACACACAAGATACTACAGAGAACACACAAGATACTACAGAGAACACACAGAATACTACAGAGAACACACAAGATACTACAGAGAACACACAAGATACTACAGAGAACACACAAGATACTACAGAGAACACACAAGATACTACAGAGAACACACAAGATACTACAGAGAACACACAAGATACTACAGAGAACACACAAGATACTACAGAGAACACACAAGATACTACAGAGAACACACAGAATACTACAGAGAACACACAAGATACTACAGAGAACACACAAGATACTACAGAGAACACACAAGATACTACAGAGAACACACAAGGTACTACAGAGAACACACAGGGTACTACAGAGAACACACAAGATACTACAGAGAACACACAGGGTACTACAGAGAACACACAGGATCCTACGAAGAACGCACAGGGTACTACGAAGAACACACAGGGTACTACAGAGAACACACAAGATACTACAGAGAACACAGAATACTACAGAGAACACACAGGATCCTGCGAAGAACGCACAGGGTACTAGAGAGAACACAGGGTACTACAGAGGACACACAGGGTACTACAAAGAACACACAAGATACTACAGAGAACACACAGAATACTACAGAGAACACACAAGATACTACAGAGAACACACAGAATACTACAGAGAACACACAAGATACTACAGAGAACACACAGGGTACTACAGAGAACACACAAGATACTACAGAGAACACACAGGATCCTACGAAGAACGCACAGGGTACTACGAAGAACACACAGGGTACTACAGAGAACACACAAGATACTACAGAGAACACACAAGATACTACAGAGAACACACAGAATACTACAGAGAACACACAAGATACTACAGAGAACACACAAGATACTACAGAGAACACACAAGATACTACAGAGAACACACAAGATACTACAGAGAACACACAGGGTACTACAGAGAACACACAAGATACTACAGAGAACACACAGGGTACTACAGAGAACACACAAGATACTACAGAGAACACACAGGGTACTACAGAGAACACACAAGATACTACAGAGAACACACAGGATCCTACGAAGAACGCACAGGGTACTACAGAGAACACACAAGATACTACAGAGAACACACAAGATACTACAGAGAACACACAGGATCCTGCGAAGAACGCACGGGGTACTAGAGAGAACACAGGGTACTACAGAGGACACACAGGGTACTACAAAGAACACACAAGATACTACAGAGAACACACAGAATACTACAGAGAACACACAGAATACTACAGAGAACACACAAGATACTACAGAGAACACACAGAATACTACAGAGAACACACAGAATACTACAGAGAACACTGCATCCTACAAGTATACTAGTGTATACTGCACTGTCTGTACTCCTCTACAGACAGTGTGTGAGGTCACAGGCGTGAGGTCAGGTGTGAGGTCACAGGTGTGAGGTCAGGTGTGAGGTCACAGGTGTGAGGTCACAGGTGTGAGGTCAGGTGTGAGGTCACAGGTGTGAGGTCACAGGTGTGAGGTCAGGTGTGAGGTCACAGGTGTGAGGTCACAGGTGTGAGGTCACAGGTGAGAGGTCACAGGTGAGAGGTCACAGGTGTGAGGTCAGGTGTGAGGTCACAGGTGTGAGGTCACAGGTGTGAGGTCAGGTGTGAGGTCACAGGTGTGAGGTCACAGGTGAGAGGTCAGGTTGGTGTGTTCTTACTTCTCCAGCGCCGTGCGGACGGGGGGCAAACCTCCACAGCTGTGTTTGTAAACTGTCTCCAGGATCTGACAGCCGTGAATCTGAAAAGTACTTCATAAATACTGCAGTACTGTGTACATGTTACTGCAGTACTGTGTATCTATTACTGCAGTACTGTGTATCTATTACTGCAGTACTGTGTATATATTACTGCAGTACTGTGTATATATTATTGCAGTACTGTGTATATATTACTGCAGTACTGTGTATCTATTACTGCAGTACTGTGTATCTATTACTGCAGTACTGTGTATCTATTATTGCAGTACTGTGTATATATTACTGCAGTACTGTGTATATATTACTGCAGTACTGTGTATATATTACTGCAGTACTGTGTATATATTACTGCAGTACTGTGTATATATTACTGCAGTACTGTGTATATATTACTGCAGTACTGTGTATATATTACTGCAGTACTGTGTATATATTACTGCAGTACTGTGTATATTACTGCAGTACTGTGTATATATTACTGCAGTACTGTGTATATATTACTGCAGTACTGTGTATATATTACTGCAGTACTGTGTATATATTACTGCAGTACACAGGAGTACAGGAGGAGTTCGTACCTTCTGAGCTTTGATCGTCTCCACCACGACCATCACTGAAGGAAACAGCAACTGGAACTGAACCAGAGACAGAGTGAGACCTCCCTCTCCCCAGACACCTCCTCCTCCCTCTGACTCCTCCCCCTCCCTCTCCCCAGACACCTCCTCCTAACTCCTCCTCCTCCCTCTGACTCCTCCCCCTAACTCCTCCTCCTCCCTCTGACTCTTCCTCTTCCTTCCTCTCCCCAGACACCTCCTCCTCCTCTCAGGTTGGAGTAGAGTGGATCTTCTGACCTGGTCCAGTTTGTAGTTGACGTGAGAGATGGTGAGATGAGGATCTTCGAGGAACTGAAACAGAAACAGGACAGGGTCAGGGTTATTCCAAACGAGGCTCCGCCCACATCCCCCCATACTCCCACAGTACGAGCCTGTACGAGGCTCCACCCACATCCCTCATGCTCCCACACGACTCGTCTCCATGAAAACACAAACTGAGTCCTGACCTCCTGCTCCAGGTCGAGGAGCGCCTGTCTGTACGGCTGCAGCATCGAGTCCAGCCCCGTGCAGAACGCCCTGAGGTACACGCCGTGGAGCCCCGCGCTGTGAGGCCCCGCGCTGTGAGGCCCCGCGCTGTGAGGCCCCGCGCTCTGAGGCCCCGCGCTCTGAGGCCCCGCGCTCTGAGGTCCACTCGGAGCCTGTGAGGCCCCCAGGTCCTGAAACACAGAAAAACACAGAAAACTGTTTTAAAACGATTCTGACCCAGATCTCACACGAGAGCTTCAGTAAAGACACTTTTTTATTTGCTTATTGACTTTTATTCAACCACGAGAGTCCAGACCGTGTGTGTCTCACCTGTGCGTCTCACCTGAGCCTGTGCACGTGTCTCACCTGTGCGTCTCACCTGAGCCTGTGCACGTGTCTCACCTGGGCGTGCACGTGTCCCGCGTGTCTCACCTGGGCGTGCACGTGTCCCGCGTGTCTCACCTGGGCGTGCACGTGTTCCCGCGTGTCTCACCTGGGCGTGCACGTTTCCCGCGTGTCTCACCTTGGCGTGCACGTGTCCCGCGTGTGTCACCTGAGCGTGTACGTGTCCCGCGTGTGTCACCTGGGCGTGCACGTGTCCCGCGTGTCTCACCTGAGCGTGCACGTGTCCCGCGTGTCTCACCTGAGCGTGCACGTGTCCCGTGTGTGTGTGTGTGTCTCACCTGAGCGTGCACGTGTCCCATGTGTGTGTGTCTCACCTGAGCGTGCACGTGTCCCGTGTGTGTGTGTGTGTGTCTCACCTGAGCGTGCACGTGTCCCGTGTGTGTGTGTGTCTCACCTGAGCGTGAACGTGTCCCGTGTGTGTGTGTGTGTCTCACCTGGGCGTGCACGTGTCCCGTGTGTGTGTCTCACCTGAGCGTGCACGTGTCCCGTGTGTGTGTGTGTGTCTCACCTGAGCGTGCACGTGTCCCGTGTGTGTGTGTGTCTCACCTGAGCGTGCACGTGTCCCGTGTGTGTGTGTCTCACCTGAGCGTGCACGTGTCCCGTGTGTGTGTGTGTCTCACCTGAGCGTGCACGTGTCCCGTGTGTGTGTGTGTCTCACCTGAGCGTGCACGTGTCCCGTGTGTGTGTGTCTCACCTGAGCGTGCACGTGTCCCGTGTGTGTGTGTGTGTGTCTCACCTGAGCGTGCACGTGTCCCGTGTGTGTGTCTCACCTGAGCGTGCACGTGTCCCGTGTGTGTGTGTGTCTCACCTGAGCGTGCACGTGTCCCATGTGTGTGTGTGTGTCTCACCTGAGCGTGCACGTGTCCCGTGTGTGTGTGTGTGTCTCACCTGAGCGTGCACGTGTCCCATGTGTGTGTGTGTGTCTCACCTGAGCGTGCACGTGTCCCGTGTGTGTGTGTGTGTCTCACCTGAGCGTGCACGTGTCCCGTGTGCTGTTCGATGAAGTCGCTGAAGCGTTTGTAGTCGGAGCCGAGTTTACACTGACGCTTCAGGACACTGAGCTCCGACGGGTGCAGGAAGGGCAGCTCCTGACACACCTGCCGATGAGTGAGACAGGTGAGGACACAGACAGGTGAGGACACAGACAGGTGAGGACACAGACAGGTGAGGACACAGACAGGTGAGGACAGAGGTCTCTGTGTAAATGTCTCTGTGAGACTCTGTCCTCTAAGAACAAACAAACTAAATCTGTTTCCTGCTCAGCTCCAAACTCACACTGTGGAACATGTCACTGTTTATATATTATATAATAATAATAATAATAATAATAATAATAATAATAATTATTAATTATTATTATTATTATTATTATTATTATTATTATTATTATTATTATTATACACATGTTGGTGTGTAACAGCTCCTGTCTCACCTGCAGCACCTGTCTCACCTGCAGCACCTGTCTCACCTGCAGCACCTGTCTCACCTGCAGCACCTGTCTCACCTGTAGTCCCGTGCGCTTGTTCCAGGTGAAGATGGTTCCGGGGAACCCGCTGAGCGCGAGCAGCAGCTCATGGATCATCCTCCCGCCTCAGTCACACAACATCCACAAACACGACTTACACCCGGTTTAGGCCCAGTTTAGATCCGTTTAGATCCGGTTTAGTTTTGTCCCGCTTTATCTCAGTTTAGCTTTAGCAGAAGCCGCCGAGTCTCTGTCTTTGTCTCTTTGGTTTTGTCCCGGTTTAAACGAGCCGTGTCCCATTTCAAACCCACTTTCACCCGGGTTAAAGCTATTTCCCCCCGTTTAGCCTCGTTTTATTCCGTTTTATCCCTGTTTGTTCCGGTTTGTCCCGTTTTAGCCGCGTCCTGTCTCCATCAAAACAAACCGCGGCGGCGCTCACTTCCGGCGCAGCGTCACTACGTCAGCGCCGCAGAGCATCACGGGAGTTGTAGTGCAGTTCACGTTTGGGCGCGTTTCTCTCTTTTTCGGCCTCGTTTTTCGCGCTTCCGGTGTGCGGGACGGAGCGGCGCGCGGTCCCCTCACGCACGGCGCGGGCTGGAGCCGTTCACGCGCCGTCTGTGCGGGAAAAAACGCATTTTTCTGCGCGTAAATCACGTCCCTCGGTCTCCCCGCGGAACTGCGTCACTTTCCGGCGATGGAGCTTTAGCCCGAGCGACTCCGGTGACGAGTCTTGGTATTTTTACTTTTTTATTCACGTTTTAACCTTTTGTGTCCGAGCGGAACCGAGCGGGGAGGGGCCGCGGGGGGCAGGGTGCGGGGTCGGGTCCGGGTCCGGGTCCGGGGCGGGTTCGGGTCACAGGTTTGGGTCCAGTTCAGGCGCAAGACTGAAGCTTTTATCACCAACAAACACACAACAAACACACAACAAACTCTGTGTGTTATATTGTGTGTTGTTGTGTGTTTGTTGTTTTCTGTTATATTGTGTCGTGTGTTCTGCTGTGTGCTGTTGTGTGATGTTGTGTTGTTCGGCTCAGAGGAGGACACACGGAAATGAAACACAAACAGAGTCTGGAGGTTCAGGTGGAGCAGAGGAGGAGGTTCAGGTGGAGCAGAGGAGGAGGTTCAGGTGGAGCAGAGGAGGAGGTTCAGGTGGAGCAGAGGAGGAGGTTCAGGTGATGCAGAGGAGGAGGTTCAGGTGATGCAGAGGAGGAGGTTCAGGTGGAGCAGAGGAGGAGGTTCAGGTGATGCAGAGGAGGAGGTTCAGGTGATGCAGAGGAGAGGTTCAGGTGATGCAGAGGAGGAGGTTCAGGTGATGCAGAGGAGGAGGTTCAGGTGATGCAGAGGAGGAGGTTCAGGTGATGCAGAGGAGGAGGTTCAGGTGATGCAGAGGAGGAGGTTCAGGTGGAGCAGAGGAGGAGGTTCAGGTGATGCAGAGGAGGAGGTTCAGGTGATGCAGAGGAGGAGGTTCAGGTGATGCAGAGGAGGAGGTTCAGGTGATGCAGAGGAGGAGGTGAGATGATGCAGAGGAGTGACCCCGTGTGTGTTTGTGGTGCAGAGGATGGATCAGACGGTGGAGGACTTCCTGTCTCAGAACCCTCAGGTGAGGCAGTGGGCGGAGTCTGTGAGGGGCAGGTGTGAGACGCTCAAACAGTGGAACGCTCGGAGAACCTTCATCCTGAGGAACATGGACCTCCTCGGACTCGGACCGGAACCGGGACTCGTCCCGGAACCGGGACCAAAGCTGGACCGGCTCTTGGCCCTGTCCATGGTCTGGGCCAACCACATCTTCATGGGCTGCAGGTAAGAGTCCTGGTTTAGACCTGGTTTAGACCTGGTTTAGACCTGGTTTAGACCTGGTTTAGTCCTGGTTTAGACCTGGTTCAGTCCTGGTTTTGGTTCTGATTCAGTCCTGGTTCTGGTTCTGGTTCAGTCCTGGTTCTGGTTCTTCTCAGGTATCCGGACACGGTGATGGACAGAGTTTTGAAAATGGCTGAAGGGATCGAGGTTGGAGATGTTCCTCAGTTCACCACCAGAGACCAGCTCATGTCCAGGAGCAACAAGAGGAGCCTGCCCCTGCCGACAGGTGCCTGCTCCTGCCTGCTCCTGTCTGCTCCTGTCGGGGGTCAGACACAGGGGCCGGTGAAAAGTCTCAGTTGGAGAAAACGGAAACAAAACAAACTCACAAAATCCAACAGGAGTTTAATCGAGCTCCAGTTTGTGGAATAAACAAACGAGATTCACTGTTGGACTTTTGAGAAACAAAACCTTCGACCGAGCGCTGACCCGACATGGACCGAGTACTGACCCGACGTGGACCGAGCACTGACCCGACGTGGACCGAGTACTGACCCGACGTGGACCGAGCACTGACCCGACGTGGACCGAGCACTGACCCGACGTGGACCGAGCACTGACCCGACGTGGACCGAGCACTGACCCGACGTGGACCGAGCACTGACCCGACATGGACCGAGCACTGACCCGACATGGACCGAGCATAAACTCGTGTTTAATTTTGTGAGTTTGTTTTGTTTCTGGACTTGAAGCTGTTTTCTCCAACTGAGACTTTGCACTGGGCCCTGACAGCCACTGTACTGCCTGCTCCTGCCTGCTCCTGTCTGCTCCTGTCTGCTCCTGTCTGCTCCTGTCTGCTCCTGCTGCTCCTGTCTGCTCCTGTCTGCTCCTGTCTGCTGCCTGCCTGCTCCTGCCTGCTCCTGCTCTGCCTCCTGTGCTGCTCCTGTCTGCTCCTGCCTGCTCTGCTCTGCTGCTCTGTCTGCTCTGCTGCTGTCTGCTCTGTCTGCTCCTGTCTGCTCTCTGTCTGCTCCTGCTGCTCCTGTCTGCTCCTGTCTGCTCCTGCCTGCTCCTGTCTGCTCCTGCCTCTGTCTGCTCCTGTCTGCTGCCTGTCTGCTCCTGTCTGCTCCTGTCTGCTCCTGTCTGCTCTGTCTGCTCCTGCTGCTGCTGCTCCTGTCTCTGC